TGTTTAGCTGTATTTTTTCAATTTTTGTTACCTTTGATGAGACAAATATGCCTTGTTTGAAAAACAATGAGTTAAATGGTCTGCCTAGTGTTGAAGAAACTGGTGGAACCAAGCTGCAAGTGGAAGAAGCTGAAAATGCTTTTGACACTCAAGAGATTGAAGAATGGAGTGCATAAGAGAACTTAGGAAGTCAGCCTATAGAGTTGGGAAATTACCATTTAACTAGAGATAGGACTAGAAGGGAAATAAGAGAGCTCGTTAGGTATAGAGTCTACCTTTCACTTGCTATTCTATCTTATCAAGACCTTGTCTTTAGGGAACCAAGATCTTATAAAGAGGCCATAGGCAGCCAACAATTTGAAAATTGGCAGGCTGCCATGGAAGATGAGATGGATTCCTTAATAAAAAATAAAACTTGGACTTCAGTTCCTAAACCTGTAGGTAAGACACTTGTTGATTGCAAGTGGATATTTTGTGTTAAGGAAGGAAACCATGAAAAGACGCCTATAAGATTCAAAGCTATACTTGTTGCAAAGGGGTTTACACAAAAGGATAGATTATAATGAAATCTTCCTCCTTGTGGTTAAGTATGTTACCATTAGAGTTATGCTTGCTTTTGTAACACATTATTATTTTGAATTTGAACAAATGGATGTAAAAACTGTCTTATTGTATGGTGACCTAGATGAAGTGATTCATATAAAACAACCACTTGGTTTTGTTGATAAATCCAAACCTAAACATGTGTGTTTGCTAAAAAGATCTTTATATAGGTTAAAGCAATATCCCATATAGTGGTACAAAGGATTTGATAATTTTGTATCTACTACTGGTTTTATAAGAAGTGAATTTGATCATTGCCTTTATCTTAAAAGAGGTGAAGAAAATGTTATTATTGCTTTTATATTTCTTTATGTGGATGATATGTTGTTGACAGAGCAAAATATGTATGTTGTTAATGACATAAAAATGTCTTTAAGTGCTGAGTTTGAAATGAAATATCAAGGTCATGCTAAAAGGGTTCTAGGGATGGAAATAACAAGAAACAGAAGCAACGGGTTACTGAGTCAAACAAATTGTTTATGTTGAGAAAATGTTGACTAGATTTGCCATGCATAATGCTAAACCTGTTACCCTTCCCTTAGCCAGTTATTTTAAACTAAGTAAAGAACAATGTCTTGTTGATAAATCTGATATAAAACAATGGAAAGAGTTCTCTATGCTAATGCTGTAAGATCAGCTATGTACATTATAGTTTGCACAAGGCCTAATGTGGCCCATTTCATTAGTACTCGTAGCAGATTCATGGCTAACCCAAGACCAGAATATTAGATTGCTTTAAACTTTAAAATGGTTGTTGAGATATTTGAAAAGATCTTCACATTTAGATTTATCCTTTAGCGCCTGTAATGAGGGTGTAGTGCTTAAGGGTTTTGTTGACTCTAACTTTTCTAAAAATAGAGATAATAGGAAATCAACTATAGCATATATGTTTACTTTATGTGGAACATATATTAGTTGGAAGTCCCAATTCCAACCAGTTGTAGCCTTGCCTACAATCGAGGCTGAATATGTGGCTACAATTGAGGCAATTAAGGAAGCTTTATGGCTTAAGGGTTTGCTATTTGACATCAATGAATTATGTAGTATTGTTGTCACTCAAAGTGTTATTCACCCGTGTAAAAACCCAATTTATCATAAACGAACCAAACATATCGATGTTAAGTTGCATTTTATTAGATATGTCATTTCTAAGAAAATTTCGATACTCTAGAAAATTGCTATTGAGTTTAATCTAGCTGATATGGGGACGAAGGTATTGCCTCTAAACAAGTTTAAGTCTTGTTTACAAATCTTGAACATTGATACTGGTTAATTTGATTTTGTGTAGGCAAGGGACTTGATACCAATTGGAAATGCTAGGAAGCTTATGCTTCAAGAGAATAAAATATAGAATGTACTTTATAGGCTTTTTGTTTGACCACTGGCATTAAGGTGGTGATCTGTTGGGTTGTGATGCCAGGTCCAGTCCAATAGTTAGGCAATGATGAAAAATGTCCTTCGACCCAGATGGAAATAATACTTGCCCAATGTCATTGAGATGACCCAATAACCAGCCCACTATGCTTGTTGCTCTAGACCGTTGGATTTACTTCAGATCAACGATTGATGGTTTTGAGTATAAATAGGGTGTTTCTCATAACCCTAAAGGCGATTTGTTTAATTTTCTCGTGTCTTGAGGTTTAGAATCTTCGAGGGCTTTCTATCCTCTTCCTTTTATCTTCTTTGTTTCAGTTGATAGAAATTCTCTGATTGAGAATCGAGTTTTGGTAACTTCTTTGTGTGAGTTAGGTCGTCGATCTGTTGTTGTATCCATTTTATGGTCCATTGAAGCGACTTCATGCTTGTGGATTTGTGAGGGTTCTTGGGTTTTGCTCGGAGCCTCTGTGATGATTGTGACAGGTACAAGTGTTTGAGCCTAATCCGGTTGAAGTCTTGGTGTCTAGTGGTTTAGTTTGTACCAATATTCAAGTGTAATATCTAGATTTGTAATTTTTGTCCATTGAGTTTGTACTAATATTGACAATAAAGTAATTAGGTTTTCAAGTTCCTAAAATTTAAAGTTCTAAAAAATTTTAACACCATATAGAAGTGCATATTATTTCAGATCTGAAATCAAATTGAGGAGATGGTGTTCGGACGGTGGTGATGATGATTGTGGCAGAGAAGTGCCTAAAGGCATTGGGCTTGTAGGTGGTAGAAAGTGGTTGGAATAGGAGAAGATGGTGATGTTTTGAGAACATGTGGTGATTAACATTACTGACGAGTAGTGGGCGATAGATTATATATTTAGGTAGTGGTGATGCTTAGTGCGGACTTGTGCGTATGGTGGAAATGGTTTACGGATGAGAATGAGGATAAGGAGAAGGTGGTGGCAGCACTGACGAAGCTATACAATGGTTTAGGGTTGGTAATGGGGTGGGGCTTGGCATTTTCTTGCCTCGTACTTGCCCTGTTACCCATTTAAAACGGGATGAGGAGGGAAGGTTGCCTCATTTTCGTATCCGTTTACCTTTTTTTTTTTTTTTTTTTTTTTAATTTTTTTTTTTTCCCTATTTACGTTGTATCACCGGTGGGAACGGTGTCATGGGTGAAAAACTTTGGACATTTTGATTGGTACGTAAACTCTCTTCTTCAATCAGTTCGTTCTGTGTTTCCTGTTCTATGCAATTACATAGTGTGTTTTCTTTTCTACTCATAAGATCATTTTTCTTTCCCTTTTTTTTTTTTTTTTTTTTTTTTTTTTGACAATTCATTTTATCGCCTCTATTCATTCAAGTGAGACAATAATATAGTTATTAAATTTTTTAATTAATTAATTAATTTTTAAAAGTTAAATTATTCAAATATATTTAGTAAATTAAGGTTTTTATTGTGGATTATATTCTTTAGATAATTTTAGTTGTCATCTTCTATTAAAATTAATGAAATTTCGTAAAATGTTTCCATTTAAAGTATTGAATTCTTTATAAAAAAGGAGGCTAGGGCGAGGGCGAGGGCGATGGAGGGCGGGGCGAGGCCCCTATTATCCGTACCCATCTTGGGATGAAATTCCCCATCCCGTACTCGACCCGATTAACCTATTAAGCGGGCAATCCCTGCCTCGTTCGGGGCGAGCCACATCGATATCAGGTTTGACGGGTATTTTTGTCATCCCTAACGATATATGGACAAGGAAAAGTTTTTGCCCCTCAATAAATCCATTGCTCAATAATTTTATATGTGGGGATGCTAATCAAACCCCTAACAAGATATAGATTGTCTTAGTTCATAGTAGGGATCTAATTGGAACATTGGGTGATTTTTATTGAGGCAAATGTACGAAAGCAAGTGCAGGATGAATGATTTTAAATCAAACTCATCAAGTGTAGGATGGACGATGTTAAAACAAGCTCATTATTCATTAGATAGAGAAACTCACTAATATTTTGGGATAATTAGAATGTCTCTGATTGAGTAATTGTTTATAGGTGGAGGAATGTGAGAGATAATTATTGGCAATATTACTTAGAAAGGTTGGCCCCATAGAGAAAATTTAATTAATTTCTAAAACTTTGCCAGATTCCTAGTTGCTATTTTATTTGTGAAAAGTGGTAACATGCCACATAACGTATGGGTATGTTTTGAGCTTCATGTAGAAGAGCTTTTAGATAAGCTACCTTAATTTTTTTTGAAAACTAACTTATAGAAAAACTTCCTATCAAGAAATACTTTTAAAGGAAATCTCATTAAAAAAACTTCCTTTAAAAACTCTTCTAACTAAAAGTATTTTGATAAAATTAGTTGAAAGAGTTTATAAGCAACTTTTGAATTTCAAAAACTTTTTTTAATTTTTCAAAAGTCACACCAAGCAGACTGTAAAGCATCCAACAAACAAAAATGCCCTCTCCATCCCCACACAAAAAATTCTACAAAGTAAAACCATTAAACGAATTTTTTCCTTCACTTTAGTAGGTTCATTGTTACATCTACTAAAATAGCAAAAACAGATAGATCCCTAAGAACCATAAGATTGCTGATCAATTTGGGCTAACCTTCTTGCACAATTTGAGTAATTTCTAAATACTACGAGGACGATAGTCATGAATTGCAAGAAAAATATTTTCTAAAAGCTCCCCACACTTATTATCCAACCAAGTCAAATTGTCTTCAAATCAATCAAATTCGACCTCTAATTTTCTCTCCAAATGAAGTCTTCTTTAATGTATTACCAAATAACTCACATCTTAACTTCTTTAATGCTGCCATGGCAGGTAAGAAAGCGGGCACGGTAATCGGAATGCGACGGAGAGGTTGCAACACAGGGGAGGAGGTATGGGTAGGGATGGGATGCGAAGGGTGGAAGTGGACTGGTTGTTGAGTCCGGATGATGAAAATGTTGACACAATAGGGTTATTCAAGATTTTAGAAAAAAAAAATAATAATATCACCAGTGTATATTAATTTTTTTAAATATTAGCAACATAATCAAGAATCAATTTCATTAAGTATTACAAGTAAAGACACAATGAATGCATAATCAACCCCAGGATAAACTCTTACTTCAAACTTTTCTTTGCCTAAGCTTCCCAAATTGAACCTCTGCTTTACCTACATCATAGATAAACACGAGTCATGAGTATGGAACTTGAACTCTATAGACACGTTCGATAAACACTACCGGACGGCTGCATAAATAAGATTTTCGCTTCTTTTTTCTTTATACGTTCCTAGTCAAGTACACTTTTATCAAACAAACTATATATTCTTAAACTGAAGTCATACCTCTGCTATCAAAGTGTCTCCTTTGTAAACTTTGAAAGACTGAGAAACATAACTTCCAACAACACGGAAATCACAGATTTCTCCGGTTGGGTTGGTTGCTAGAAATACACTAAGTTGTGTTTTGAACTGGAAAGACTGTGATTGTTCCACAGTATAGAGAAGATTGCTTTCTTCTGAGCCCACCCCGAGACAAACCGTCCATCGTTGACGCCAAGCAACCTCCTGGGACATGTTCAAGAAAATCTCAGATTTTGAGTTATGAAAAAATGTCTTATGTACTACATATGTAGCAATTGTGAAAATTTGAATAGCTCGAATGTTGACGACAACTTTCGATTTAAGTGATACTGTTTAAACTCAAAGTGGAACGTGCGAACACCACCAGAACATCCAAGCTCAAAGACTGAGGCCGAGTCACACAAAACCAGTCAAGCATACTTTTCCCTTCAAATTTGATCTCCTGCCTACAGTGAGGAAAATAAAAACTTCCCCACAAAGCAAGAGGACCTTACTTATAATTCTCCATAACAGTCATACATTCGGAGAACCATGCTTACAATTCTCTTGCCACATAGCAATGAGAAATTTTTTAACTATCCACTGGGGTAGAAGATCAATTCTACTTGTTCCTTTGTTAGGCACCCAACTAACCGTGGTCTAAAATCATGACAATATGCTTGGACAAACTCATTTTCTTCTCATTAACGCCAACAGAAATGTCAGATTAGTGTACACATAAGTCCTAGATTCGATCCAACAGATCTTGTCCTGATCAATCACAAATACTATAATTGTGTAACATGTATGTCCAAAAATGGGTAAGTGAAGAAGTTAATAGCCTAATTGTGTGTTCTCTTGATTCATTTTCAAGGGATCCTCGAATGAAACCTCTAGATAAAGAGCAAAGTTACAGTCTTATTTTCCCATTCATCATCAACAATATATCAGAAGTGTACCTTTTGGCGGATTGTCAAAAGAGGAGAAGATATTGAATCATACATAACTCTCTTCTTCCTGAATTGCCACATGGAACCCTTAACTTGCAGCAAGAGAGTTCCATTGTCGTCTACCACGTCGATTTTTGTGTTAGAGAATCCACTCTTTTTCTTCACAATCAGGTCAACTAGATAAGGGAAACAAAAACCTTCCCCAACAACACTGATTGTAGGAACGAACCTCGTTATCTCAGGTTGAAACATTGATGGTTCGACTCCAAAAAGAAGCTAAAATCTTGTCTTAGTACTAGTTTATAAACAAACCCTCTCTGTGTCCCCAACTGAAGAGATTCATGTCCCTGAAGATGGTGTTGATATTTTCTTGCTTCTTAAAAGTTTCTTGGAGAGATGGAATGGTCAAAAGTTTCTCCGAAGATCTTCTTAGCAGTTTCCTAAAGTTCAATATTTAAGACAACATAGTTACGTGCCCAAAGTTTACGTAATTGTCTAATTTAATCACTTAAATTAGTACTTTCTTTCGCAATCAAATATATATATATATATATATAGACACACATTGATGATTTGACATTTTGATAAAATAAAAAAATAAAAAATTTGTAATTGTTAATAGTCTGATACTAAGTGTCATCACAAGTTCAATGAAATTGTCCTCGAAACCCTCGGAGATCAAGAATATACTCTGGTTGTAAACAAATTACTATTTTTAACTTTTTATAGTGTGGGATGACACAAATATTTTTTTAAATAATAAAGATATTGAATAGCTGTTTAGAATACTTATGCCATTTAGGATTCATTTGACATGACTTTTAAAAAGCTAATATGGACTTTTGAAATCCAAAAATTGCTTTTGGCTCTATTTTACTCATTTTATGAAAGTGCTTCTTTTAGGTAAAAAAAAAAACTTTTAGAAGAAGATGGTTCATAAAAAGCTCTTTTAAAAATTAATTTTCAAACTAACTTCCTTCAAATAAAATTTCACATGAAGCAAAAGTAAAAATTATATCAAACGAGCCCTTAATTCTTCTCATAACACATCAATAAGTCAAAACTACTATGGGAACTATTGGTACATAATTATCAAATTAAACGATAGTTGTTGTAGAGGGTTACCTGTTAAGCAAATGGCTCAAAGTCAAAGTTGAGAAAAAAATACAGAATTAACAAATCAGATTTAGCCGCGATCTCAATCATTTACCCCATAAGACCCCATTGTCAAACACCTCATCCTCAATCGAGGCTCCCTTTTATTCACAAAAATTCAAAATTTAAAATTCAAAATTATACTACAGGCTTATAGTCATAATACCTCGTTCATTAAAAGAAGTAAACAATCGAAATTTACTTATGAAATTTTCCTCGAATTCATCTTGTCTTCTCATATTATACATGTTCTCATATTAAACATGGGATTTACGAATTCCGTATTGGTTTCATTAACTATTATGAAAAATGACACGACGAATGCATAATGAGCTCCAGGGTAAACTCTAATATTGTAGCTTTCTTCACCTTGCAAATTGAATTTCCCTCTAACTACTTAAACTTTAGTTCTAGACAATAGTCAAGTCACTCGACCCGCACCGATGACCAGGGGAATGACCGTACCCTCACATGAGACGAGTGAGACCCGCATGAATTAAAAATTCGTAAATGCTGATCTACCAAGGTCATTTACCAGGCTTCCTACAGGCTCCTCACACTGAGGTGGCCCCCACTTCTGATCATCATGCATTAAAAAATTGCAACAAAAATGGCTGACCGACCAACTGAGTCACAGCCTGTAAGAGCCCTGTAAGGGTCGGCCCTGGAAGTGTAGCATCACTCTTAAAAAAATCCCCACCCCTTGTGTGTGTTTGTATGCGATCATCCTCGCGATCACTTCCGCGATTCGTATAGCATAACCCTTTAGACATACATTTTAGGTCTGGATAGAAAACAAAGGTTAGTACTACTGCTATCAAATTGTCGCCCCTGTAAAGTCTGAATGTAGGAGAGAGGTGAAAGTTGCCAAAAAGACAGTTGAAATTCATAAAGCCGTTGTTTTGTACCAGTAAATAATATGATTAAAAGGTAAGTCAAAGTCAACAATTAATTTTAACAATGCATTTAATAAAACCTACAACTTTTCAACTATGCATTCTATTAACTTTTATCAAAATCTGCTAAAAATTTGCAGGATTTTGATAACATAAACTGATATGCCAAAATAAAATCACAGGCAATCGGGGATTAGCTCTTACAGATTTAAGTAATTCTATGTGCTAAAAAATTTCTTTAAAGAAAAAAAAAAAAAAAAGAAATGCTATGTACCACCACCTGTAACTAGAACAAGTTTAAGTGGGCATCCAATGAATAAAAATGCAGCCCAACCGGCGTCATGAAACAGCAAATGGTTCATAAAACTTTGGCATAACCAAAAGATTGAAGAAACTAAATACTCCAAACCCTTGAAATTCTGTACTATGACTAAAGCATGCTAGATAGCTGCAAAGCTCTTTTGATACTCTTCATCCACCATATTAAAAACAAAGAAACGATGACCGCGTAAACAATCATAGCCTTCACAAACAAATTTACCCAGATTTCAATATCCAAAATGTTTCCAATTTATTTTATTCAAATTATAGATATACCTCTGAAAATTTCCTTCGTTATCCTTGGCGAACCTTTGATTTAATGAGCAAGAGCCCTTCCACACGACTCTCAGATCACTATGAAGACTTTTCATCTCTGTTTGACTCATAGTTTAGTTACTAATAATTACATTACACGCTACAGTAAGCACCATTCCCTGTGCAAAGCAATAACACGAGAATATGAAGTAAATTACACAAGGATTTATTGACTCACCTTTTTCCCCTCGTGACAAGAACATTGCAAAAATTGTTTTGTTTGAGAAACGAAATTTTATCTATAAATTGTACTAGAAATCCACCCTGTAAACAAATTTTTCAAGTTGAAAACCAAAATCCTAGTTATCACATCACAAAAGGGAACATCATATCTCAAAATCTCGAAATCTTCTCAGCAAGTTCAACTTGTATGTCTCAATTTCAGTGTCCTCAACTGAATCTGGGGTTGACCTGATGACAGAGATTGCTCCAGCTTGATATAAAGCACCAGCAGCTTCATCTACAGTATCAGGTGACACAAAACCTTCCCAATTAGATGTTCAATATACGTAGAGAAGTATGATAAGAAAAGGAAAAGGGCTTATTAACTAACAGCCTCTACTTTATTTCATAGGTGGTATGTTCCTAGTCTCAGCCATAAAAATACCTCTATTAACGATATATGTTCATGAAATCTCAGTGTTCAATGAGACAATAAATAATTAGAAAGGCAAAATACTAACATTAAAAAAAATAAAAAAATCCATACGTTAAGGAAATATATGGATGATTTACTCATTTGACAGACTAATACCATAAACTAAATTTGTAAGATCTGTTCAGTTTTTAATATGTAATATGTAGGCTTGATAAAGTTGAGTGACTACTTCAGACTCTCAGACCAGATTAGAAAAAGAAATGCAAGCTTCCCTTTGCTGGCAAAAATAAGAGTATAACAGGGAAAGATATTAAGGCTGTTGCGGATGAACTTTGAGGTACTTTGTCAGTACAAAATAGAGTAAGAATATGTTATTTCCTGTATGATAAATTAACTGGAAAACGATTTATTAACTACACTTTTTATGCCTAGCTTCAAAATTTCAATACATAGAAGTTAAAGAAACACAAGACATGTACAAGTGTTAATTAAGGAGAAACAGATTTTCCTAACAATTCTGCTTGACCATTTATCCATATATAGACATAGAAGACATGTATGGCTGGGCTTATAGGCTGATCAAACTATCTTATAAGCCCAAAGCCCGTCCGAGCTCTATTTTTCCATGGAAGATTTGACATAAATATTATTGGCTTTGTTTTAAATATTCAACAAAAGAACCATTCCTCCAACCAAAATTTTTGACAAATACATTTGACAAAGAATCTCAACCCTTAATTTAAATGAATCAAACGAACTAGATTTATTTCATTTAACTACTTAAAAATCCCAAAATGAATCTCATCCCACAACCAAATACCCTCCCTGTTTTTCTCTCTCTAAAGGCATTTTGGGTATTTTGACACTTGCCAAAAGCTTATAAATAAATAAGCCATCCAAGCATGTGTGTTTATTGTCCTTGTAAACACATGAGATAGCTCCTTTCTAAACCCTGTCCGAACATGCTCATAAGTGTTCCTTAAGGATAAGCAGATTTTCCCAACAGGAAGCTTCACCATTTATCCATGTATCTATGTTTTCATGTACGGGTAAGCAAAAACAAAATGACTGAAAACATTGAAACACTGACCTGACTGTGCAATGGCAACTAGAGCCTTCAAAGCTTCCTTGCGAGTACGATCATCTTTTGCAGCCCCTAGCATGTTTAGTAACTCTTGACCACCACCCATCTCAACTATTTTCATCCTCCTTTCATCTGAGATCAAAAAGTTAAGAGAGGTAGAAAGCACCTGAGATATACTAGTACCATTTTCATAACTCAATCATTGTGCAAAGATCAAGGACAAAAGTTCCATTCACTAGTCCCCTTGATGAAGGTACATGCTAATCCTCTCTAATGAGATTATGTCTAGAACTAAAAATGCATATTTGACATCGAATGAACTTGGTTGGGTAGAGTTAGGGCTATCAAGCTGTGAAGATTAGGCGTCCTTTTCTTCCTTCTCTCGTCTAACCTTTTCTTGTTTTGTGCATAGAAAAGCAAGGAGGTTGAGGTAGAGGGGAGAGAGATGCTCAGATAATTAATTATGCAATGGATATTCCTTCACTACATGTTACTTTCAGCATGTCATTTAATTTTTTGACACTGAAATTGATGCAGGATGAATTAAAGAATAGAAAGAAGAAGCAAGAAAGAAGGGAGAAGCGGAGAGAATGAGGGGAGAAACCTGAAAAGAAGCAGAAATTCACGGGGGAGAGGGGGAGGGAGAGGAAGGAGAAGCTATAGGCAACAAACCACCAAAATATTCCTCAATTCATCAAAACTAATGAAATTACATCGCAATTAGGTTTAAATAGTAAAGACTAAAAGCTTAAGTAGAATGAACTTGGGCCAACACAAGCCCAATTATATAAATAAAATCTAAAACATAAATAAAGTCCAACTAAAAATAAGTAAAAAGTAGATGTCCTCATCAACTCTCCCGGGGTGGGATAGATCATTATAGGTTGTAGTCAATCTGATACTCCAAATACTTCAAGTCAAGTTATGAGAGACGATCTTTCTGATGAACCAAGTACCGAAATTCCATGTTTGATAATACTGAAAATTGTAGCTTATTCCCAAGAATATGATTTGACCAAGGGGGCGATTTTTCCTTCTAACCAAGTACTAATACTGGGCTCCAAATAATCAATACTCATGCACTGCATCTTCAAGATTTTCACATAATTGTACATATTGAGGAGCACAAGAAGCACGTCGATCTAGCCAACAAACAAGGAAGTACTGAATCTTGCCATCATTGGTCAATACAACACGTTTATCTAAAATAACATCAATTTTATCTTTGTGTGTTGTGATAGATGGTATTGAAGTAGAAATATCAACATAGTCAAGTGGGTCCACAAAGCTAAATAGAAATGGATCATCAAAGGAAGTAACACGGTGTTTGTAAGTACTGAAGTTCTCGATATTTAAAATAGAGTGGTAGCAAAAATGTAATGAAAAAATAATGATATGTGCATTTGAATCAACATGCTTTAAAATTTTTAAAGCACCAGCACTACAAGCTTGCAATATAACATAATTCCCAATATTAAATTCAAAATATCGTTTATGCAAATCAACTTGAAGTTTATATAATGCATTACTTGCGTCATGTTGTTTATTGATCTCAATATGCAAGTCATGAAAATAATATACAAATACTCCAGTTGACAACGACACACTAGCATGCGGAGACATGGGAATAAGATCTAACGACCGTCTAAACTTATAATTATGAACAACTTCAAATGGATTTAAACCTAAAGACCGATTCATAGAATTGTTATATGCAATTTGAACAGTTGGAAGGGTCAAATTCCAATTTCCCAAAGTTTCCTTGCAAAGAGCATGATTACACAAATCATCAATACCTTTGGGTGGAATAAGAGTAGGACACACAACATTTGACTGAGAGGTATCGGGAACAAGGGGTATAATACCTAGACTCATAGGAAAAGTCCGAATACTATCTAAGGAGGTGTCTTCACTATCATCCAAGTCATCAAATTCTTTAAATTTAGATTCATAGATTTGATTTTCTAATCGCTCATCTCTCATATTCTTTTGTTTTTCAATGAATAAGGCTCAATTAGAACATTCAGAAGAGATGTGGCCAAAGTCTTTATAGTTGAAGCACTGCAAATGAGAAGAAGTTATTGAAGTTTCAAAATCTTAACCTTTATTGTCCAACAAAGAAGGAGCATTAGATGGGGGAGGACCTATTAAAGACCTACCAGGATAAGGTGGTGTTGATGAGACGAAAGGGGGAATGTCACTACGCCTTCGATACGAAGAAGAAGGTCTTGGGATATCATGACCTTTACACTTATTTTCCCAAATGGGAGGAACATTAGACGAGGAAAGTTTTATGATAGACTTATGACGAAGTGGTGCTGATGAGATGGGTGAACGATGGTGACTACGCTTTTCATATGGGGCACTAATATATAACTCGTAGTCCCGAGCTAAAGAGTAAGCGTGATCAAGAGTAGTGATACCTCGAAAGAAGAGCTCACGCCTAAGTTCATCTCTTATACCTTGTATAAACCTATTCAAAGTTAAGGCTTCATCCTCAATGATATGACGCTTCATTCGAAACTCCTCAAATTGTGCAATATACTCAGTCACTAACTAATTCCCTTGTTTAAGGGCATTCCATTGAATAAGAACTTCAAAATCTAGGCAACCATCAAAAGTAGGAGTGTCTAATTTCGTGTCTCTAAAAGATCTCTTCTTATGATCATATTGAAAATATTTTTGATCACCTTGTCGACGACGATATTACCTATTGTGGGACACTTTAGAATTAGTAACATCAATCGAATGAGGGATTTGCTTAAAATTGTTTAGATTAGCAACTAGATCTTTGCTCTTTTTACAAGTAGTAGCCATCTCGGTTTGTAAAGCTGCTAATTGAGTTTGTAAGTGTTGCTGGCTAGTGACAAGTTGAGCTAATTGTCTAGTGAGTACCTCAAATTGTGAAGAGTCCATGTCTAGGTACTGAAACGAGGAGTGACAAGACGAAAAGTCGACCACTATGCATGTACTGTACTAGGAGCTAAATGACGTGTAATAGAGAGATGAATGAACAATAAGCGCAAGCAATGAAAAGTAACAATTTGGGCATTTTTTTTGTAAATTAAAATTTGGGGTTATGTTAATCCAAATGTAACAAGCTAATAATGCTGATTCGAATAACATAAAAAAGCAAGGATACAAATGACGAATCAAAATCTTTAACCCTGTGGGGTAAGCAAGGTAATGTTGGAAATTATTCAGTCAACGATTCTAATCAAGTGTTGTAAAGATAAAATTTACGACGTAACAGCAACACAAAGATTTTAATTGATGCAATTTTTAAAAAAGAAGCAGTAGTACAATCCAATAATAAAAAGGGTTCAAGGACTCCTCGTTGTTTGGTTGTGACTATCTATATGCCGATTGATCTGAATTGCCGACTTATGAGCCCCAGCTATACTTCCGTTCTTCCCTTCGTGTCCAATGGTTTTAGCCCTTGCTGACTGTAACTTGTGCTGGTTCTGGTGTGGACGTAAAACTGAGTGTGGTGACTGTGGTTTTTAGATTGTTGAGATGGACGAGGAAATATACAAGTACAGTAACTGTAGTGGAAATGTATGATCCTGGGTTGGTGGTAGTGGCCTGTGACAATGAAGCGGTAGTGCTCTGGATGCTTGGGTGCAATAGATAATGAAGTGATGGCGTGGTGGTGATTAGAGGCGGCAGCGGCAGGAGAGTGGTTATGAGAGAGGAATCGGGTGAAATTGTGAGGTATTTGATGTTAATGGATTGGTTATAATCAGGCTTGGTAGGATATTTGAGACTGGGACAAATGGGAAGAGGTTTAGATCCTGTTATAGAGATGAACAGGTGGGGTTAGTGTTTGGTGAGTGGACCTGAGTCGTAAAGAGTAGGCTGAGTTAATTGGGCTAAATGGAATTGGGCCGTGTGTAAGTAGGATTGAATGTTAGGGATGAAATTTATAAAATAGCACTACAATTGTATAGAAGAAACAGCGGCAAGCGAGAATTTTTTTTTTTTTTTGGGTGGGTGAAACTGAAATTGCAGAAAAACCTAAACTGAAATTTTCGCGTGTGAACAGTAACTTAAACGGTATTTTTTTTTTTTTTTTTTGCAACTACGATAGAGAATTGAAGGAAAAAAATTGAAATCGGACGTGAACAATAACCGCGAATAGTAACTTTTTTTTTAAACTAACGACAGAAAAAAAAGAAATCTGCTGTTGTTACCAAGAATTATTTCCGCCTGTACTCTTCTAGAATTTTAGGGAACATGATGGTGGTCGATGATGCGTGGTTGGGAATATGAATGGAAAAATTTCTGGAATATAATTGATGTATTTCCCAAGTTTTGGCTCTGATACCAAATTTTATACATGACGAATTAAAGAATAGAAAGAAGAAGCAAGAAAGAGGGGAGAATCGGATAGAATGGGGGGAGAAATAGGAGAAGAAGCAGAAATTCATGGGAGAAAGGGGGAGAGAGAGGAAGGAGAAGCAATAGGCAACAAATCACCAAAATATTCTTCAATTCATCAATACTAATGAAATTATATCGCAATTAGGTTTAAATAGTAAAGACTAAAAGCCTAAGTAGAATAGACTTGGGCCAACACAAGCCCAATTACGTAAATAAAATCTAAAACATAAATAAAGTCCAACTAAAAATAAATAAAAAGTAGATGTCCTCATAAAAAATGTTCAATCCATACAGATTCTCTCTTCATATCAGTGAAGACTGCAGGTTTTATTTTCAGTGCACTATATATATATATATATATTATAAATGGGCTAGTCCTTTTATTTGATTGGTACAGAGTATGATCCTGTTCATAAATAACAAGCATAAGCTCTTTATTAAAAAGTATAAGTTCCTTGAAGCTAACCACTAATCAAGGCAATAAGCATTTTTTGTTGTGGAAAGTTTTGAAGAATTACAGGGACAGAAAATATTTCATTGTGAATAAACTACAATAGGAAACATCAACTAGTTACTAAACATTACCATCTATAGCAAAACGAGCTAATCTGGATGCTCCCATTCTCTTAAACAAGGGATCCTTCACATGTAGAAGTGATACAGATTGCTGCATCAAATTATCTCCTACAAAAAGTCAGGTACTAAAGCATCAGACGTCTGTTAGAAGTAAAAAGAAGCACAGCTTATACAATAGAATACTATCCTTAACTCAACACACATACCCAAGTATGGAAAGAACTGGTAAGCCACTATTGTCGCAGTTCCAGCAAAAAGTAGTTTCAGCATCCATCCGATTTTTCTTTCTGCTTCCTCCTCTAATGATCTTTGATCTAAAGCCAGCATAGATATTCATAATAAATCAAAACAAAATCAAATAAAGATATGGTTGTCCAATGATGAAAGGGTAACACATGGAGAATTCAAGTTGATATGAGTGGGGCCTGTTGTGCCAGGTGAAAAATTTAGCATTGCAGAAGTGCCTTAATGTGAGAATCAAACCGCAGTGCCTCTACTTAACCAACATATGTGTGTAGAAGTGAGTGTGCTTGAAGCAACAAGTGGACATATTCTCACTGGCATTCCCTTGAGCTGTCCAATATAATCTTCTTTGCTATTTATGAATTCTTTTTGCAAACATTAAATCCAAACTCCAGCCACTTTTAAGTATCAACTCAATTTAAGTCCATATATTTCTTAATGAAAATTGAGAATGACATGGTTACTACTCCTGATTTGTAAGCATTTTTCTGAAACCCAACACGCAGTAAAAGGCCAAATCATAGGGCAGTCAGTGAGGTCTTATAACAAAATTCAATCATTCGTAAGCTAGATTTCAATTTCAAATCCATTTCATACAATCCATCGAACCATCACGATAAATTAGTAACACCAATTCCATAATGGCAAAATGGGAATGATGAGCTCAATGTTCCTATTCTTCAATTAAACTATTTAAAAATGGAAAAGCATTATATAGTCAAATACAATACAATAAAAAAAAAAAAAATTCGAATGCGTTTTTATTTGATATAAGTTATCTCAAAGAAGCTAAACTGAATTTAAATTTGGGAAAAGAACAAGTAACAAAATGAAGTATAAAAATCACCTCTTGTATGGAATGATGAAGAAAATTTTCGAGATTGCACTTTCACTGGGTTTCTCCTGTATAAATACTTTGATAAAAAAATAAAGAAAAATTAGAAGAGAGTGGAAAAGGAAAATTGCATAGCTGATATTTGATTCTTTATTAATTGTGGAAAGAAGTGGGAAAGGTTGCTAGGGTTTAATGTAGGGATAAGCTGCTGGGACTTACGGTGCTGCAGATGCGTGCTGCTAATGTGCGCATGATGCGAAATCGAGATTTTGAAGCTTTGCTTCAATCGAAGTATGGAACTTGGTGCGGGAGCACTTGCTGGAATTGCTGCTGTCTGGCGGTTCTACATTTCCGGCATATTCACGCACAATTGCACGCTTGGTCCTCAAACTTTTAACGCAAGTCATCTTAGTCGTGCTCTTTTAACATTAAGATGCTAGCACATTCTTTTTTTAGATGCATTATATTTTAATGATAAATGCTATTTACAGTTACTCACTTTTGTAATCGTCCTACGTCATCAAATCAATAGCGGTTACATATATGTCACGTAAGATGACTACAATATTAAGCGACTGCAAATGACATTATTCTATTTTAATTGCATGAAAGGATAATAACTTCTACTCATTATCATATGCATGTTTCCAACTTTTTTCATCACATATTTATCAGCAACATTCCATTAACTAATACATATTGTTTCTAATCACGATTTTTGTTCGAAATTTTCGTTATGATGGACTAAAAAGACTTAGTTTTAAATAAGAAAAAGTATTAAAGCTAAAATTATGACTAAATATTTATCTCTTATTTAAATGTTAACATAAATTTTGAACGGAAACAGTAATTAGGGATAGGATTTTATTTAATGTAAAGTGAAAGATAAGAATGTGCTGAAAATATTAGGAAATAAATATAATAATAAATAAAGATTAAAGATATTTAATGAAATTAAAATGTGGTACAATTATATATAAAGGGTGTCTCTATTTACATCCACAGCTTTTATATGTTCATACAACTCTATATACGCCCCTATTAAAATATTATAAATTTACTATTTTTCATCAACATCAAATTCTAATATTGTCCTAATTATTAAATTCATTCATTTAAACAATATATATCCATATAAATTTTATATATTCATCACACTATAATTATATCTCTAATATAATTTCAGAAATTTTAAAAATATCACTATATTCATTCAATCATTATTAACATTTAATATGGTTTTTACTTTTCCTTTTTTATATTGTCATTTCGGTGCTTTAATATTTAACCCTTGTTTGAGCCTCATTTTTGGGAGAAAAATGAATTTTTGAATAGTGTATTGATGGGAAATGTGTGGTTAAAAAATAAGGAATTTTTTTAATTTACTTGTAATATTATTTTATTGAAGAATGTGTGGTTAAAATGATATCAAAACACTATTGAAAAATGCATTTTTTTGAAAAGAATGGAGCTCAAAGAAGGACTTAATTATAAAAGTTAGTGATTTATTTTTTGGAATTTATAGGAGTCTCGAGTACATTGCTCAGAAATCAAAAAAATTCTTCCTCGAATAGTTTGTTAATTAATTTTATTTATTTATTTATTTTGGCTTATAAGCTAATAATGTTGGCTGTTTGTGTTTTAGTAGAAAATTTTAAGTTTATTTCCTTCTGTGATATAATAATATTTGATTATGAAATTTATTTTGAAATTTCTTGTATACTTTCATTTGTCAAATCAATACTCAAAGCAAAGCTTAAAAAGTAAGATTCCATTTTCATATCATAAAAAAATTATAACTAAAATAATGTGTTGATTTTTATTTTTCTTAAATTTCAGTTGAAGATGAAATTTTATGATTTTAGTTAAAGATGATATTTTATGATTATTAGAATTTTAGTTAAACACGAACTCTAAAAGAATATAAAAATGTTCAAAAGAATTTATGAAATAAATATTAGGAGATGAATTTAGAATGATATATATTTTTATTTAATTTTATATATGTCCATGTATGTAAATTTACATAATATTAAAATTATAATATAATATATATCTCGTGAATGTAAAAAGCGGTATCCAACAAAAATTACCCATTTATCCAACCAACCACCACATCCACTCACATATCTACTTAAATCACCACCATCTCAATCGTCGTTGTCGCCACCATCGCCACGGTTCTCACTTCTCGTCAGAAACAAAATCATTAATTTTTATGTCTAGCTACATGACCACCACCTCAAAAATCACCCTTACCAGACTCAAGCCGTCCCATTGTTGGGTTGTGTAATCATATAAAATAGTTTGGTTGTAATAAGATGATAATTTTATAATAAAAAATTACTATTTTTATTTATTTACTATCATTGTATATATTTAATATTGAGCATGTGAATAAAAGTGTCAATGATCACTTGTGATAATATAAGTTTGAGTGTCTGATTTGAGAAGCACAATATGATACAACTTATAATTTAATCATTAATAAAATAGTTCATAATCAATGAGTGAGAATTGGCATCATGTACCGGAATGTTGTAGTGTTCACTATGTTGCCATTCGAGTATATATTCGTCCTTATCATAGAACTGATATTATGGAGAACCAGTGCACGTGGAGCCATTGAACGAACCATGTGTTGAATGTAATACTATTGTAAGATTGTATAGAGAATTAAATTTTATTCAAGCACCAGATATATCATTTAAATCCCTTGACGGGATTGCAGAACTCTTTAAGTGAGTTTAATGGTTTTTTTGATTTATCAAGGGATGTGATTAATTTGATTGATCAAATATTTCATGAGTTGGGAATTTAAGAATGAACGAAATAGAGAACATGAATTTGTATTGAAAACCGTCATCATGAAACATAGGTTGAATGACTACTTAAGTATTTTTCGTTAAATAGTTATAAATTTGATCTCAATGTTTAAAGACTATTAAATTTGTCATCTGTGATTGCTTTATAGGATCATTGAAGAAAATGTAATTTGAGTTTATAATAATAATTATTATTATATAGACAACTGTAAATAATTATTGGATCTAGGATGAGTTGAAATATACATGCGATAGATTAGAGAAAAACATTATAGATATATTTTGGTGTCTATGGTATTATGTGTTTCAAGAATGCATTCCTTTGCTTTTATTGAAAAAAGAAGTGAAGACTAATAATTAGATTAGATCTAATTATCGAAGTTTGGAAATATATGTCCAAACAAAAAGTTTTGACTCAATTGTAATTATTTTAAAAAAGTTAGACTTAATAATAATTATAATTAAAGTTTAGAATTACAAATTCAATTAAACCAGTTTTGGCCTAATTAGGCTTGGATCGGAGCTCTTAATCTATATATAAAGATTTAGGGCTCGAATTTTATACAAAAAAATGTCAAGGATTTTTTTTTTGCTTTATATATATATATATATATATATATATATATATATATTGATTTTTCTTTTGTCCCTCCAGTCTATAATTAAGTTTTTAATTTAATTGAAAAAAAAAAAGAACACATACCATTATTGTCTATACTTTACAATACTATTAAAGACTTCAAGGTTGGGACCGCCAAGTTTTTGAATTAAAAGCTAAAAACCCGTGATTCAATTCCAATCAAAAAACCGAATATTGCTGTAGGTATATTCTAAATTTATGTTTATTATAACATACATGTAAACATCAAGCAAAGATTTAGAGTGATTGAATTAAATAAAAATTTTATTTTCTGGCTAATTCTTATTAAAAATTTCAACAGCAACCACTACCAAACCATGTCCCCGCGATCATTCCCTATCCTTATGCCATGGCTACCACTACCACAATCGAGCACAAAATGATGTAAATGAGTTGGGGCCTTTTGCAACCACCAAAATTGATAGAAATGAAGTGAGTCTACGTAGTGCCAGGTAGTGTTGCTATAAAGATGAATGGAATGTCCCCATGGTTCACTCTACCAGATTTTGCAGTAACAGATGAGATAAATAACCCCCTATGAATCTACAAATTTAGGAAAGATTTCTTCCTCAGTGTTTACTGAGATAGTCACCTTACATGACGGTTTTTGATTTGATGTATTAATGTGATAATTTTTACTTACCTCATTTATCAAATTACGAACTGTCACATATATGCAACGTAAGACGACTGCGAAAGTAAGTCACTGCAAATAGCATTGTTCCGCAAACTAGGGGTGATTTCTCTTTCCCTATTACCCTAAAATCAAGGAGATTCGTCCCCTTTGATGGTTGGTTTATTTACCGACAAAGATACAAATCAATTAATAAATATACTGAATTTTGATGTCTTTATTTTACTTCAAGCATGATAGCATGCTAGTTACATAATAAAAGAGTTTTTAGAAAATATGAAGAAAATGAAACAAACTGTATAAAAGAGGGAGGTAAGTTAAATTCGTGAGAAAAAAAAAATAAAGACTTCGACAATATAGAAAGTGGCAAATTCAGGAATGTCAGTGAACTAGGGTAGCCATTGACCTTCGACTGTCAACGACCTCTATATTGAAATTGTTTATTAATATTTAATTAAATAATATTAGAAATTCTTCAATCAATATGCGAATTCACTAAAATTTAAGAATCATATACATATGAATATATAATTCAATAAGCCTAAAATAATAATAAAAAAAACTTAAATGATACAACCTCACTTTGTAACTGTAAGCTCAGACAAATTCTCCAAGGTCTCATATTTTGAAAACGTTGTAAGATTTTCTCATTTTCAATTTTTTTTTTTTTCAAAAATCTCTCATTCTATGTACACAATCAAATTGTCATTCAAGCACTCATCTCCTATTTTGTTGAGCAAGTCACTCTTAATTAGTTCATAGCAGAGAATTCAATTTAATACTTGTAGTTACCAGAGTTAATATCAAAGCTAATTTGATGAGCCTAAAAACCAAAGGAAAAATAACAAGAATTTCTTGTTTCAACTAACTTCTGAGCTACACAAAAATACTATTGGGGTTAAAGAAAGTTTTGCCCCTTCTCAAAAGATTAAGAAACTTGTCAAGTTGAGGTCTAAGTAATATGAGCTCTTCACTTTTGAAGCCTTATGGATAGAACTAAGTGAGACATAGCAATTTAGTCCTATCAAAAGTTGTAAATGAGGCTTTTAGACTTAAATATGAAATGCAAGTAAAGAGCTCAGTAATTGTCATTGAAAAATGATCATTCAACTCTTATAAGATTGAGTTTATCACATAGCAAAAATAATCAATGTAAAACTGAGGATAATAAGTCACCTGTTGAGCTTCATGCTTAGATCAACCTCTCAATACTACAATATCTTCCATACTGGGCATTGCAATATGTCTATCAACACAAAACTCAATCTCCCTAC